GGACCCTGGGCCTCTCAGTGATAGCTGCCATGGAGCAGGAGATGGCATCTTGGAGATCCACCGGTACCTACGTCGACGCAGTTCCCCCACGTGGGGTGAACGTAGTCGATGGCCGGTGGCTCTACAAGGTGAAGCGCCCTCCTGGAGAGCCGCCTGTGTTCAAGGCACGCTACGTGGCTAGAGGCTTCAGTCAGCGCGAGGCGGTGGACTTATTTCAAACGCAGAGTGACTACGAGTTACACTCCCTCAACATCTCTACTACTTTTGTCCAGGGCAGTCTACACGAGCAGGTCTTCCTGCACTGTCTGCAGGGCATTATCGGTACCTTCCCTCCTAGGACCCTGTGGCTCCTCCGGTGCCCAGTCCACAGCCTACGACAGGCGCCCCGTGAGTGGCACGATACGCTGTGTGCTACACTAGCTCACTTGCAGTTCTTTTCGTCCTCTGCAGACCCCTCGCTTTTCGTTCGTACTGGCCAGACTCCGTTCTATATCCTTGTGTACGGAGACGATCTGGTTTTCGCTAACGCAGACAGAGAAGCACTGGCCTTCGTGAAGGCTGAGCTACTGAGGTGACACACCTGCACTAACCTAGGAGAGTTGGGCTGCTATCTTGGCCTGCAGAACTCCAGGGACATAGCAGCACGCACCATCACTCTCACACTGTCACACTTGGTGCGCCAGGTCCTTCACATGTTCGGTCTTCAGTTATCCTCCGCTCAGCCCACACCTGTGCCAGTAGACTACAGGCTCTCGGCTCCAATTCCTGAGGAGTCAGTAGAGCCTAGTGGTCCTTACACAGCGCTGGCGGGTTACCTTATGTACCTGATAACTTGCACTCGTCCAGATCTCGCATACCCTCTCAGCATCCTGACTCGCTTTGTGGCCACAGGCAGACACCGACAACAGCACTAGTCACCCGCTAAGAGGGTTTTGCGTTATCCAGCAAGTACATCGGGCATGGGGTAAGTGCTGGGAGGACGCAGTCCAGTGGTCCTTACTGGGCATACAGACGCTTCTTGGGCAGACAACGCTGAGACCCTCAGGTCCTCCCAGGGCTAATGCTTTAGCCTTGGTTCAGGTGTTATTTTGTGGAGGTCCACTCGCTCCTCGTCTGTTTCCCAGTCTAGCTTTGAGGCTGAGATCTACGCCGGTGCCATGGCGGCACAGGAACTCTGCTGGCTGACCTTCTTGCTCACTAACTTACAGTGATGGATTTTTTTGGCCTTGAAATTGTGGTGTTTGATGATAATAGTGTGTTACGCTATTTATATTGTATGTTACTAGTACTCACGGGCCACACACATTCTGCCTTAGGGTGTTAGGGTTCAAACACAAATATATGTTATAAGTAATATCAAGATTACACAAACGTGTACACAATTTTAGGTAGCTCACTCAATTCGGACAATTACCTCCCATCGAGAGCCTAGACCGACTTCTTTCCTGCATTTCTCGCTCGAACTAGGTTACGCAAGTAGAACTTCGCGATACCCTTCCTGAAATCTTCGCCAAGCTCCCTGCCATGATGCGCCCGATAAGAACGCGTATTAAGGACCGAATCTTAACCCTGCTTCATCAGGGTCGTAGTTTCCGTCAGATTGCGAGCATGTTAGGGATAGGGAAAACTACAGTTCAGAAATATGCGGTACACGCATCCCAACACACCAGCCGTCTAGCAGTACGACCAACGGTACCTCGATCAGGCCGCCCTTGTTTGCTTTCGGTGCGTGACCGACGATGTCTTGTGCGTTCCGTGACTTCAGGGGCTGTCAAAACGAGTGTAGAGGTCGCAAAATTGTTAGAGTTAGTTCAGGGCATTAAGGTCTGCCCGTGCACAGTATGAAATGCCCTGAAGCTGTCAGGGCTTGTCGCTGTACAGCAACCGAGAAAGCCACGGCTTTCGGCGCGTAACATCCAAGATCGCTTGGAATTCGCAAGTGCACACCTAGACTGGACTATCGAGGACTGGAAGCGGGTGATCTGGTCGGATGAGACCAAGATCAACCGCTTTTGCAGCGATGGCCGCAGCTTCGCTTGGATCCGCGATGGCGCGGCTCTTGAAGCGCATCAGGTGAAGCAGTGTGTGAAGCATGGGGGCGGGTCCATAATGATATGGGAATGTATGACCTATGATGCCCCCGATTTTATGTGTAAGATCGAAGGGCGCATGGATGGGCAGCTGTACCGTGCGATCTTGCAGGATGAGCTTGCTCTGACTATCGAGTGTTACTCTCTAACCGCAAGTGATGTGATTTTTCAGCAAGATAACGACCCTAAGCACAAGAGTAGGCTTGTGCAAGAGTTCATTTATGAGAAGGAATACTCAGTCCTGCAGTGGCCTTCCTCCTCCCCAGACCTAAATCCCATCGAACACCTATGGTCTCACCTCAAACATGAGCTCTCCAAGTATGAGCACCCCCCCTCAGGCATGCTCCAAACTTGGGAGCGAGTGCAGAAGACGTGGGAGAGTATTGGAGCAGAAGTTTGTAGGGGATTGATAGATAGTATGCCTAGGAGGGTGAAGGCCGTTGTTAGAGCAAAGGGTAGATGGACTAGGTACTGATTATGGACAATGTTATGCCTTGTTTGAAATGGGAACTATCTGTCCTAATGTGCATCCATGTATCTAATGCTATGAACTTCTGCATAACAAAACCAAATATGGCTAGTGTTGGCATTTTACATGTGCTGTTGCCTTTGTCTACCAGGCCATTAAAGCCTATTATAAACTTCCCAGTAATCAGCAACTGACAATTTTCCCCAAATTTGTCCAAAATGCGGACAATTTCTTCCGTCACTGTAGGTGAGCGGCCTAGCTCTGCCTCGGTTCTGTACGCTGACAACATGGCCATAATCCTCCTGTGTCTGGAGCCACGACTTGAGGGCAGAGCGAAGCACATCCAGCAGTGGTACTTCCTCCTGCGCGAGCTACAGCAGCGTCGCCAGGCCCACGTAGTACACTTGGCCTCCGGTGCCAGCACAGCTGATATCTTTTCTAAGGCGCTTGCGCCTAAAGATCATCAGCGGCACTGCTTGCAGCTTGGTCTAGTTCCTGTAGAATCTCACTTGCTAGGACCTTGATTGTGTACTCATCTATATTTATACCTTCCAGACTAGCCTTGTGGCTTCTCTTCCACTGGCCGGACTAGTAGTGCCGCCCTGGTTTGCTCCTGTCTTGTTTGTACTCTTGCTGACTGGTCTTCGGACCCCTGTCTTAGAGGTTGGACTAGTAGTGCCACCCTGAGCTGCATGTTTCTTGCTCAGCACTGCCCCTTATCTAGCCTAGGGGGTGTGTCAACTTATACATATATTTTGTGTGTAGAAGTTGAAGGCTAGGTGTGTGTTCTTAGAGGGTACAACTCCAAGCCTATATCTCTCTTGTTCTCTCTTGTTTCTAGTCATTCTCGTATTCTAGTACATAGGTCAACTCTGATAAATCAGAGAAAACTTATAAATTCAAAATTTTACCCAGAGGCAAAAGGGTGGTACGCAAATCAACTATGATTTTCATAGAATAAGAGTAATGTACTCATGAAAAATAGGCATTGGTCACAACAGAGGCCCGAATGTTCATTTGAGTACGGAACCTTGCAGATGAGCATGTGCTTCTGAACAGAGGAATCAGGGTGCCGACCCTGCTAACCATTGTCCCCCTTATTCTGGCCTGCTTTCTTGCATCATAGGAAAGAGGGAGAGTCCCGCGCCATTTTTATATGCTGAAAACTTGTCGAGAAATCTGCTAGATCCTGATTGCAAAGATCAATTCGCAAGCAAGATTAAGTCCAAAGCTGACAGAGGAAACAAAAACTCAACGTATTTCGAGGTTGTTTCGAGGACTAATGCATTTGTTTTTGTAATAAAAATATATGTATCCGTCTGAACAACACATTCTGTAGCAGACTGCTTGTTAGGTCACTAGCGAAGAGTCATTTCACCCCCTGCATTTGACAAATATCTCTATCATCACGTGATTGTTTGTTTCTTCAAACGACGATTACTGCCTGACCTGGCAACGATGTGCGACGTGTCGTTCCCTCAGCCACCTCACCAACGTTGTCGCATGCTTGCCTTACCGCCGTTTGCACCAAAATGCACCATCCATAAACTTACCGAACCGTATTCACCGCAGTATATGTCATACCCTGACATTGGGCGGCATATAATTTGTTTTTCCACCCTGACCATTTCTGTGTGCGTAGACAGTATTCCCTTGTTCCTACGGGCTAAGCGCGGCAGACTCCACGCGGACAAAAACCTTGAGCACTGCCAAAGCTTACGTCGGATTTCCTGACTCGAGAAGCACTAAATCGAACAGTAAACGTTTCGTATAGAATTCCAAACCAAATTTGTTTTTCAAGTGTATCCGGATCTGGTCTTCAGGAGCTGCTTTCGGGGGGTGAATACCCTCTCAGCGGCACCCCCTGTGAAAATACTGGGTGTGAAAATACCGCGGGCTATTCTCTCGTTTTCCCCTCGAAATCATTAATTTTTCTATAATCTGTCTGGTACACACATTAGTGCGTTAATTCCCGACGTCGAAGTGAACAATCTCAGAGTCGGGAAGGTCCAGTATCGATTGTTTTCGACGTCGGGCTACTTTGAACCGCCCTGACGAATGTGTGCAAGTAACGCACGCAGCTGTCCCACCCGCCCGCCCGCAGCATCCTGCAAGCACAGCACCAGCAGCAGCAGCAGGCGCCACACACTGGTCGGTGCGCCAAGCCACATTCATTTATTCACCTTCCTTCCTGACCTGAACCTCGTTCTGTTTCATTCCCCACTGATGATTGCTGCTGCTTCTGCCCCAGCTTCTGACCACTCTGATAGCTGTGATTGCTGTGATTGTTGTGATTGCTGAGTTGAGATTGTTTCCCGCGCTGCTGAATTCAGCCTGCAACTGACGCGGGACTGCAAGCGTGTTTTTAGGGGTTTGTCCCTTTTCCATGCTTACAGTCTCTTGTTCATTTTCCTCATTGGTTGAGACTGTACAAGTTACGCGTCCCTTTCTACACGTACTGTACTGTAACGAGTTTCCTCTCGGGTTCTGCGTGCTCCACTTGTAAAGCCGCCTTTTGTGAAATAAATTAATGTCCCTCTCAAATGCAACAGCCGAGGCAGACTTAGAACCGCTACTAATAGCCACGCATATTCACAGCCCCGAGCAGCCCGACGTACCTCAATCATCCAGACGTGTTTAGTATCGCAGATGGTCAGAAAACAGCGCATAGAACCGCGAAAAGCGCTACGTCTTGGAAAATCCACTGCGCTGTCAGAGCCGTCAATCTCCCAATCCGTCTCTCTGACCCGTCAGAGCCCGACCCGATCTATCAGGAGCCATGTCCATCATTCCGAGCCGTACTAGGAGGCGACCCGTTGGCGCCGCGCCACTGCCTTAGGATCGAAGCGCATCGAAGTTATAGTGTCAACAGCCTTGCTGGCCATCACCACGTGCCCTGTACGCCGCTGCGTGTACAAAATAACATCTGCCGTTGACCTGGTCAAACATCGTCAACTGCTCCGTGGCCGACTTTACGGCCGAATAACAGGAGGTCGTCCGTTCGTGCGTTCGTTCGACCTTCCTCGCTTGTAGTGGCATAACTTCCTGTTTTGTCCCGGGCTTTGAGATACGTGCGAGGGATCGCGCTGTCTTCATCGGCCTCCCTCCAGTGCGCGGGATCTTGCCTCGCCCTGACTCGTACTCATTTTGCCGGGCCTGGCCGCGCCTTATAGCGCGTACAGACGAAGATTTTCGCCCGCCGGCTGATAGATCTGCATCGACGGTGCGAACCTACCGACGGCGCCTGTATCGACGGCGGGGATCGGTTGAGCCGGCGTGAGGGCAATCATTGCTGTCGTTGGTGTAGGGTATCATCGGCGGCGGGAAGTCGATGGGGAGCGCGAGAGGCTTCGACGTTGTAAAGGGCTATGTCGACACGGATTGCGGGCAGATCCACTACCGCAGGTGAGAGAGATACGCTACCGCATTTACTCAGATACGCTACCGCATTTACTCAGATACGCTATCGCAATGATTCGGATGAATTACCACAGGTGAGCCAACGACAATTAATACAACTATATACGGTACCCGCGCTCTAGGGTTTTGAAGATGGTTGAACAACCCCTCACCCCCGCGCTCCATCGCTCCAGCAAGCCCCGTTGGACTGGTTGCAAAGCAGCCGTGCGTTCAGGCCAGCTCATCGGCTCAGGCCTTTCCCTCTGCACGCTCCCTCCACCTCGTTGCCTGCTCCCCGCCGCCCTCCCCCCCCCCTCTCCATTCTACATCACGCTTTTAGAACTATCTATCAGCGACCGTTCGAAGCTTTTACTAACAGTTCCTTCTCCCCCCCCCCTCCCTCTTCCCCCTCCTCCCCCGTCCTCCCCCCATGCGCAGATGCGGACAAGGCATGCCGTCCGTGCTGCTCCTGCACGCCGCCCCCCAATCCTCCTCCATGTTCTCCTCTGCGCTCAAGCGCTTCGCCGCCCGGGGGCTTCACGCCATAGCCGTCGATCTGCCCAACTGCGGCGAATCCAGCCGTTCGCCCGTGGAGCTGAAGATTGCTGACGTGGCGGAGATCGTGCTGCAGGCCATCCAAGGGCTGAGATTTGCCAACACCATCGACGTGGTACGCTTAGACATTGGGAGAGGGGTGGAGGAAAAAGAAGGGGGGGGGGGGGGGGAGAGGGTTGTGGAAGGGGTGTGAGGGGGGATGTGCTGGGGAGAGAGTGGGGAGGAGGGGATTGAAACATCTCCTTCAATTTGGGGGGCCCATTGGTGGGCGGGGGGAGAAGGAGATGTTTTTTTTGTTGTTCAAGTCAACATGATCGCAACATTAACCCAGCATCAAGTGAACAGAAACATCCGAATTCACCAGCAATGAAGGTGTGTCTGGAGTCGACTTAAGAAACACCTGAGCAGACCCTATCAGATTCTTGAGTCGGCTCAAAACTCAGAAGTCGACTCAAGAAGCAGCTGAACAGACCCTATCAGGTTCAGCACCAGCAGTGGAAACAGCACGGGGTGTTTGTTCTTCCTCGTAAGCTGGGGCAACAGTGGCTTGACAAACAGCATCAGGCTTATCTCAGGTCATCCGCGGTGTGGTTCTGTGGGGAGCAGCACACTGGGATTCATGGTGCTACCCTCTTACCGCGCACTGTTTCCCACTGTTTCACCCACCCCCACGGACCGGCCACTAAACAGGCGCCACAGTGGCGCTGCGAATAGCGTCAGAATGACCCGAATTCGTGTGGCGGATGGTCGTCTGGGGCGTGTCCATGCTGGGGTTCATGGAGCGCGGGGACGTGTAAACAGTAACACGCCTGTTAAGCGGCCCGCGTAAATTTTCGTCTGACTCACTTCTCCCTCCCCCCCACAGATCGGCCATCAAACGGGCGCCACAGTGGCGCTGCAAATAGCCTCAGAGCTGCCTCAGTTGGTGCGGCGGGTGGTGCTGTGGGGCGTGCCCATGCTGGGCTTCATGGAGCGCGGGGATGTGCTGAGGGAGGAGCCTCCGGACTACGATGGGGACCTGGAGGGCACGGTTGCCTCGTTCCTTGAAAAGAGATACCCCAACCCCGTTCCATGGCAACTCAAGGTGAGCTGGGCTTGACATACTTCCGCCTATCTTCCCGTGAAGTCAAAGCGGGGCAGGCAGGGTGAAGGGCTCTGGGCTTCACGGGGACGTGTTGGGGGAGGAGCCTGCAGGCTACGACGGGGACTTGGAGGGGAATCTGGCTCCCCGCTTTTTGTTAAATGACAAGAAATACCCCAATCCCGTGCCATGTCGACTCAAGGTGAGCGTTGCTAAAAATCTAGTAAGCTGGGCGTATAGTTCTTGAGATGTGTTGAGGGAGGAGCCTCCGGACTATGACGGAGATATGCATGGAGGGGACCGTGGCCTTCTTTCTTGAGAAGAGATGCCTCAACCCCGTGCCGTGGCAGCTCAAGGTGAGCTGAGCTTAAGGTGGATGTGAGGCGAGCAGGCAGAGGTAGTTCTACTCCCTCTTCTTCCCCCGCTCCCCCCCTCCCCCCTTTCTTCCCCCGCTCCCTCTTCCCCCCCTTCTTCCGCTCCCCCTTTCCCCCCATTATTCCCCCGCTCCCTCTCCCCTCCCCCACTTCCCCTGCTCCCCCTTCCCCCCCATTCTTCCCCCGCTCCCTCTTTCCCGCACGCTTATCAATAGTCGACCATCTTGAGAGTGCCCCAGACCAGACTCATGAGCGCCATGCCTGGCTGATCAGAGCAATCGCAGTAGTTCACCACAAGCCTCTCCTCCGCTTGCTCCCCATGCCCTTGCCCTGCCTGCTCCTCCCCCTCCTTCATACATGGCTTCACTCTCTTGTGTCAACTCCAAGTAACCCCCCCCCCCCTCCGTATCTCGCCACTGTGCTTTTTATCAGGTCCGCACCCTGATCGACATGCTACAAACATACGAGCGCCGCCCCTGGCTCACTCGCGCCATGGCAGTTGTGGATCACGAGGGCCTTCTCCGCTCGCTCCCCATGCCCGTGCTGTGCCTGGCGGGCGACAGCGAGCCCTTCCAGAAGGCGACAATGAAGGCCGCCCTGCTGTGCAAGAACGGGAAATACGTCAACCTGGGGCCGGCAGGCAGCGACGTGGTGGACGAGATCCCCGACGACTACGTGGCCGAGGTGTTTGCTTTCCTCATGCAGCCGGACGAGGGTGGGGGGGCAGGAGGGGGAGCGGGGGGGGAGGAGTGGGGAGAGTGGGGGCGCTGGGGGGAGCGGGGCAGGGGGAACGGGCGAGCTGGTCGATCCAGAGTGACGTGGTGCCGCAGGAGGGGGGGAGGAAGATGTCGGCTGCTGCTGGTGTGGGAGGGGCGGTGGGCATGGGTGGGAATCACGCGCACAGGCAAGGGTCGCTGCCATCCAATCTAGGCGGGGGAGGAGGAGGAGGGGGAGGGGGAGGGGGAGGGGGAGGGGGAGGGAGTGGTGATGGGAGCCCGTCACCGAAGGGGGATGGGGTGCGGCTGTCAGGGGATGGGGATGAGAGGCGGTCGTCGAGTGAGAAGAAGAGAGGGCTGCTCAAGGGGCTGTTCAGAGGGAAGAGCGGGCTGCAGCAGCACGGGTGATTGCACCACTGATGGCTGGCCGCACTGATGGCAGCACAAGCGTCAGGGGATGGGGATGAGCCGCGGTCGCTGAGTGAGGAGAGTAAGGGGCTGCTCAAGGGGCTGTCAGAGGGAAGAGGGCTGCAGCAGCAGCATGGGTGATTGCAGCCCTCACGGCAGCACTGGTGGTAGCATAGGTGTCCAGGGATGGGGATGAGATTGGGCCGCTGAGTGAGGAGAGGAAGGGGCTGCTCAAGGGGCTGTCAGAGCCAAGGACGGGCTGAAGCAGCAGACTCACCTCAGCAGACTCCAGGGGGTCTGTAGTGACTGCCACTGCCACCGCCACGTGACGACGGTAATAGTGCGAGCAGAATCCCACATCAGCTGGGGCTGGGATGCTCCTAGCAGCAAGAGCACAGTTGCTTGCAGCAAGAGCACTGTGCGAATGTCAAGTGTATTTGTTCGGCATGTACAGCATCGGTTCTTTGCATGAGCAGAGCACTGGTGTCCCCCCTTGTCTTCTAGTCAATGGTGTGCAGCCCTACAGTCTGCAGTATATTAGGCTTTAGCATGTGTTTTTCTGGTCGCAGATACAGCCATGATTGATGAGGCTGCCTGCTGGTAATCTGTCTAGGTGAAATATGTGCTGGTGGCTTCACCACATTCCGAAAAGACCACATGCAGGTGATGGTGGTTAGATGCGAGTCGGTCGATTCATTGAGTGAGTTTTCATGCCTTGTGTAATAATTTGACAGGTGTTGCAGGAGACTAAGTGTACAATCTGCAAACACAAACACTTGTAAAACCTCAAGTGTTAGCCTGTTAAAGTGAGAACTGAATGATTGAGAAGAGAGAGAGTACAGGTGAATATACCTAAGTGTTGTACCCTCTAAGAGGTGGCCCTATACAGTCTATGCAAACATAGGAGATACACATGTTTGACACACCCCCTAGACTGCATAGGGGCAGGTGGTACTGAACAAGGAGCTCAGGGCGGCACTACTAGTCCAGCCTCTGAGACAAGGGTCTAAAAGACCAGTCAGAAGGAGTACAGACAAGGCAAGAACAAGACCAGGGCGGCACTACTAGTCCAGCCACTGGGAGAGGACACAAGTCCAGTCTGAGTACACATATAAAGGACAGTACAAAGTCAAGGCCCTAGCACGTGAGAGGCTACAGGAACTAGACCAAGCAGTACACAGTGCCGCTGCTGATCTTTAGGCGCAAGCGCCTTCGTAAAGATATCAGCTGTGTTGGCACCTGAGGCCAAGTGTACTACGCGAGCCTGGCGTCGCTGCTGTAGCTCGCGCATGAGGAAGTACCGCAGCTGAATATGCTTCGCTCTGCCCTCGAGTCGAGGCTCCTGACACAGGAGGATTATGGCCCTGTTGTCAGCGAACAGGACCGGGGCAGAGCTAGGCCGCTCACCTAAGTCAGTGAGTAAGAAGGTCAGCCAGCGGAGCTCCTGTGCCGCCATGGCACCAGCGTAGATCTCGGCCTCACAGCTGGACTGGGCAACAGACGAGGAGCGGGTAACTCTCCACGAGACGGCACCTGAACCAAGGCTGAAGCAGTAGCCCTGGGTAGACCTGAGTGTCTCGGCGTCGTCTGCCCAAGAAGCGTCTGTGTGTCTAGTAAGGACCACTGGCCCACGTCCTCCTAGCACTAACCCCATGCCTGATGTACTAGCAAGATAACACAAAACCCTCTTAGCGGCAGACCAGTGCTGAGGTCGGTGTCTGCCTGTGGCCACAAAGCGAGCCAGGATGCTGAGAGGGTATGCGAGATCTGGGCGAGTGCAAGTCATCAGGTACATGAGGCAACCCACCAGCTCTGCGTAGGGGCCGTTGGGCTCTACCGACTCCTCAGAAACTGGAGCAGAGAGTCTGTGGTCTACAGGCTGAGGGGTGGGCTGTGCAGAGGAGAATTGAAGGCCGAACCTCTGAAGGACCTGGCGCACCAAGTGTGACTGAGTCAGGGTGATGGTGCGCGCTGCTCTGTCCCTGGAGATCTGCAAGCCAAGGTAACGGCGCAGTTCTCCAAGGTCAGTGCACGTGTGTCTCTTCAGCAGCTCTGCCTTCACTGAGGCCAGTGCGTCCCTGTCTGCTGTGGCAAAGACCAGGTCGTCGACGTAAACAAGGATATAGAACGGAGTCTGGCCAGCACGAACGAAGAGTGAGGGTTCTGCGGAAGACGGAAAGAACTGCAGGTCAGCAAGGGTAGCACGGAGAGTGTCGTGCCACTCACGGGGAGCCTGGCGCAGGCCGTAGACGGGGCGCCGTAGGAGCCACTGGGTCCCAGGAGGGAAGGTGCCAGTAAAGCCCTGAGGGCGACGCAAGTAGACCTGCTCGTGTAGGCTGCTCTGAAGGAAGGCCGTGGAGAAGTCGAGGGAGTGAAGCTCGTAGTCACGCTGAGCAGCTAGGTGTAACAGAACCCGAAGAGTAGTCATCTTCGGGGTCGGAGCGAAGGTCTGGAAGAAGTCCACCCCCTCCACTGACTGAAGCCTCTAGCCACGTAGCGCGCCTTGAACACAGGCGGCTCTCCAGGAGGGCGCTTCATCTTGAAGAGCCAACGGCCATCGACTACGTTCACCCCAGGCGGGGGAACTGCGTCGACGAAGGTGCCGGTGGATCTCCAAGATGCCATCTCTTGCTCCATGGCAGCTATCCACTAAGAGGCCCAGGGTCCCGAGGTCGCCTCAGCGTAAGTGCGAGGGGTCGGGATGTCGAAAGCGTCTGGGTCACCCTCAGGGACTAGCAGCATGGAACAGAGATGGGGAGCAGCCTCGGACAGGAAAGAGGAGACGGGAAGAGGAGGAGACGGCCGGAGAGGAACAGACGCAGGGTCCTGGGACGGAAGGCCGAGCAGGCGAAGGACTGACACCGGCGGGGACTGCTGCGGCGGTGGCACAACTCCGACACCGGGACCGCAAGCTGCTCCTCGGCGACCACCGGCACACTCCACGCCAGCATCTCCAGAGGGAACACCTCCAGTGTCACAGGATCGAATGACTTGAGGAAAGATTGCACTATCGATCAGTACAAGGTGTTTTTATACTTCCAGAGTACATCAGGTAACCAGGTTTATCTTATCTTAAGGGAATAGACCCTTCTTGAAGATAGAATCACCCTGCGTATAGCCACGCGAGGCTATTGGCTTTAAGGGATTACGGCATGATTACGCTAGATATAGCGCACTAGTACATCCCAAACCTGGTCGGTGATATAATTATAATAGCAGGATAACCCAAAGGTTAATGGAAAAGGAAGAATAGGAAACCAAATGAGATGGGATAAAAAGAGAAATGAAATAGGAAGGAAATAAGGAAAGGCCAAGTGGTGTAATGGGGTCGTACTCTCACACTTCCCCCCCTCAAAGCTGGGTGGTAGAAGTAACATCCTGCTTGACAAGGTAGTCATGCAGAGGATGACGGGCGTTACCCATGTTGGACTCAGGTACCCAGCTGTCCTCAGAAGGATCATAACCCTTCCAACGGATGAGAAGCTCCACGGTGTCATTCCGACGACGGCGGTGTGCGAGCACGGACTTGACCTCGTACTCGGGTTCATTCTGGACGAGGACGGGCAGTGGCGGCGGCGGTTGGCGTCCGACGAAGATCGTTTTTGGATCCCGATAGGGCTTCAGAAGTTGGACATGGAAGGCGTTGTGAATCTTCCAGTTAGCTGGCAGGCATAAGCGGAAGGTAACAGGAGTAACCTGTGCTTCAACAAGAAAAGGCCCGCAGAAGCGAGGTCAAAGTTTAGATGGGAGGTGGCTGATGTCCAGGTTGCGGGTGTCAAGAAGCACCTGGTCTCCCACCGTGATGGTGTGGTCGTTGCGATGGCGATCAGCCTGGCGCTTCTGTTGCTGCTGAATGTCGAGGAGGCGCTTGTGGGTCCGATCCCAAAGCTGATGCATGGTTGTGATGAAATCATGCGCAGGTTGGACTGTAGCTGATGCTGTCGGTTTTTGTGGTGTGAGTGGGTGGCGTCCGTAGCAGAGGAAGAACGGCGTCTTTCCAGTAGCGGCATGTGTAGCATTGTTGTAAGCAAACTCTAGAACGGGCAGATGCAAGTCCCATTTGGAGATCTCGTCCTTGCAGGCTGCTCGGAGGAGTTGTTCGACAATCTGGTTGAGGCGCTCGGTCTGTCCGTCTGTCTGCGGATGGTAAGCGGATGACATGGCGAGTTTGGTCCCGAGTAGAGACATAAGTTCCTTCCAGAACTTGCTGGTGAACTTGGGGTCTCGGTCGGAGATAAGTGTGGTTGGAATGCCATGCTGTGAGATGATGTATCGAACGAAGAGTTGTGCTGTTTCTTCGGTGCGTGCTGTCGTGTGTGTCGGGATGAAGTGTCCCATTTTGGAGAATTTGTCGATGACGACAAGGATGGCGTCATGACCGCTGGTGGAAGGTGGTAACCCGGTGATGAAGTCCAGGCTAACCACTTGCCATGGTTGTTCTGGGACAGGAAGAGGCTGTAGCAGTCCTGCCTTCTTCTGTTTGCTGCTCTTCATCCGCTGACAGGTATCACACGAGGTGATGAATTTCTGAACATCTTCTGCCAATTGGGGTCAGTAGTAGTGCTTTGTGATACCGGACAGCGTCTTGTTGCTACCGAAGTGTCCGGCGTAGAGGACGTCGTGGTATTCTTCGAGTAGTAACTGGCGCAAAGGAGGGTAATTTGGTACCCAGATCTTTATTGATCCTTTCCGGTACGCGATATTGTTATCCCACTATAGTAGATGTCGCTTTTCTGCCAAAGGAATTTCGGGGTTGGTGGCGTACCCGTGTGTGAAGAGTCCCTTGAGTAGTGGATTCATCCCTTCGATTTGAATAGCGGCAACGTGTGTAGGCCGGCTGAGAGCGTCTGCTTTGTTTTTGTGACCGGGCTTATACACGATGTCGTAGTGGAAGTGTGTCTCAAGGAAGTCGATCCACCGGACCTGCCGCCTGGAAAGGTTGGGTTGTGTCCTCAAGTATTTCACGCTGCAGTGGTCGGTGTAGACGGTTGTTCTTCGTCCTTCGAGATAACATCTCCATGCTTTGAAGGCGATGATGATAGCCAGGGCCTCTTTGTCGTGTATCGGGTAGTTGAGTTCTGCCCTGTGTAGTTTCTTACTCAGGTAAGCGATTGGTTGCAGTCCATTCCCTTGATCTTGCATTAAGACTGCTCCCATTGCTTGGTCACTGGCGTCAGCTTTGATGACGTAGTCGCGTTCGGGATCTGGCAAGATGAGTACTGGTGCGGACGTAAGTGCTTGCTTCAGCTGCTCCACGGCTTCCTGGTGCTTCGGCTCCCATTTGTAGGGTGTGTTCTTCTTCAGCAGATTCGTGAGTGGTGCTGCGATTTTCGCATACTGTGGCACGAACCTGTTGTAGTAATTAGTGAAGCCTAGGAACTGCTGCAACTCCTTCACGTTCTCGGGCATCTTCCACGTATGTACGGCTTCGATTTTCTTGGGGTCGACGTGAACTCCTTGAGCGCTCACCAGGTGACCTAGGAACTGGACCTTCTCAAGGGCGAATTCGCTCTTGGACAGTTTGACGTAGAATCGTTCTCGTTGAAGAATTTCGAAGACGCGTCGCAGGTGTTCGACGTGCTGCTTCATGTCGCGCGAGTAGATGAGGATGTCGTCCAGGCACACCACCACGCACTCGTCCAAAAGTGGTCGTAGAATGTGGTTCATTTCGGCTTGGAATGTTGCCGGTGCGTTGGTGAGTCCGAACGGCATTACCAAATACTCGTACGATCCATACCGAG